CCCCCAGAATCGCGACGTAGGGGCATTCTCATTGCGAGCACCCAAAAGTGCTCTAAAGTGCGATTTTGCCTGTTGCAGATCTGCGGGCCTACGGCTCCGTGGCTGCATTCCTGCAGCTCTGAGCGCTTTCCCGTGGAAGATGTGATGCTGTTCATCTTCATTCAGGCTGGCTGTGGATAGCCTTCAGAGGGGTCCGGGGAGTGCTATAGAAGAGAGAGACATGTGGAAGAGAGAGCCGGTTGGCAAGCAGAGGAAGTTTGCCAGCCTCGCCCCGGGCAAGCCCGGCAAGCCCGGCAAGCTGGCAAAGAGGCCCGCCGAGAGTTTGCCAGCCTCACCCCGGCAAGCCCGGCAAGCTGGCAAAGAGGCCCGCCGGAAGTTTGCCAGCCTCGCCCCGGCAAGCCCGGCAAGCTGGCAAAGAGGCCCGCCGGGAGTTTGCCAGCCTCGCCCCGGCAAGCCCGGCAACCTGGCAAAGAGACCCGCCGGGAGTTTGCCAGCCTCGTCCCGGCCCCGGCAAGTTGGCAAAGAGGCCCGCCGGGAGTTTCCTCGCCCCGGCAAGCCCGGCAACCTGGCAAAGAAGCCAACCGAAAGTTTGCCAGCCTCGCCCCGGCAAGCCCGGCAACCTGGCAAAGAGGCCCGTCGGCAGTTTGCCAGCCTCGCCCCGGCAAGCCAGCAACCTGGCAAAGAGGCCCGCCGAGAGTTTGCCAGCTCGCCCTGGCAAGCCTGGCAAACTGGCAAATGCAGCCCGGAAGACTTTGCCAGCCAGTCCCTGGGAAGCTCCGCCGGGCCCATCTTGCCAGCGGGCCCCGGGTCCCTGGCAAGCTCCGCTGGGCCCATCTTGCCAGTTTGCCGGCCTTGCCGGGCCCCCGGATCCCTGGCAAGTTCCGCCGGGCCCATCTTGCCAGTTTGCCCCTTGCCGGGCCCCCGATTCCCTGGCAAGCTCCGCCGGGCCCATCTTGCCAGTTTGCCGGCCTTGCCAGCCCAAGCTCCCGTTCCTGGCAAACTCCGCCGGGCCCATCTTGCCAATTTGCCAGCCTTGCCAGGCCAAGCTCCCAGCCCTGGCAAACTCCGCCGGGCCCATCTTGCCAGTTTGCCAGCCTTGCCAACCCCCCTTTCCTTTGCCTGTTTGCCGGCTTTGCCAGCTTGCCTCCCCGCCCGGTTTGTCAAGGAGCAGAGGCTCGCAGAGACCTGATGGGTTCAGAAAGTTGTTGAAGCCCCCTCAACATTGAAGCGGACTCATCCATGCGTGTAGGTAAAAGTCCCAGACGCGATGTTATTGCCTCTTCCGGGTGCACTAGAAACACTCTGATTATTCATGGACACACCTACTTCACGCTGTTTCGATTGAACGAGAATAGCAACTAGCATCAGGAAAACAAAGCAGTAAAGACCGTTTCTTACTACTTACCTCCCTGAATCCCAATGTTCGACCCTGTGGCTTTGCCGGGCGCGGCAAATTGCCGCGGCCTCCGTTTGCCAGTTTGCGCTGGCAAAGCTTGCCGCCCCGCTGGCAAACTGCCGCGGGCTCCCTTTGCCAGTTTGCCGGCTTTGCCGGGCTACCTTTGAGAGACGAGATGAGCGAAACATCAGTGGACGAGCAGACGAGCATCAGGAGCCTCAGTCTCAGCGGATGCTCAGCGGACGGATGAGGAGCATAGCGGGCGGGCGAGCATCGGGCGCGGGTTCCGGGGGTGTGGGCTGGCGGGGCATTGACAGCAGAGCCCCCGCGAGCCTCGGCGGACCATCAGCTGGTGGGCCAGATGAGCATCGGCGGGGCGCGTGGTGGGGTGTGGCGGGATGAAGCACCAGCCGGCGGAGGGCGGGCGGATGGGCATTAGCAGGCGGGCGCATGAGCATTCAAGAGCATCAGCGGACAGGCGGGTGAACCGCAGAGGGCGGGCGGATGAGCATTATTGAGCATCGAAAGAGCATCAGCGGGCGTGCGGATGAGCATCAGGCGCAGTTGAGCATCAGACGAGCCGCAGTGGAGCGTCACAGCCGCTGGGGAAACGGGGGCCCCAGAAGTTGCGATCTCATGTGGCACGTACGCATACAAGCGCATCCTCCTTCCCCCTGTAGGCGGGTAGCGACTTAGCAAAGAATCGACACCGCTGCGAATCATGAGCATTTGATGAACATTAGTAAGCTGCCCGCACCCACCACTCAACGGGACAGATGAGCGTCCTGAGCATCAGCTGAGCCTCGGCTGTGCATCCGCGCCGCTTGGGTTCGACCAACATCAAACCTCATCCGCGCTCCCGCTCATTCCTAAGATTCATCACGATTCTCAGCGTGTTGCGGGGTCTGAGTGACTTTATGAATCTCACCTGTGCCTTCTGACAGCATTTACCAAGCCTCTCACAGAGACAAACGCATTCCCGCTTTACTTTTGCAATCCACAGCAAACCTGAAAAGGCATGAGGGTTTCGCAGCTGGCTGGCAACAACCATTCAGAGGCTCCTTGAATTGACTTCACTGCAAGCCCCGACTCACAACCATGCTCTGCTGTGCCTGGGTTTCACTCCAGGCTTCGGCCATGGGTCGAGATGAGCCAGCCCCTGACAGCTTCAGGATGCAAAGACGCGAGACGAAAGTCACAGCAAGCGCTGCAGACACACCCCAGATCTCTCCGCAGCATAGTTTTCGACTCAGGCTATTGAGCGTCTTCGGAATCTGCACGACCTGTACACAAATATTGTCAAACGACTTTCCTTCCTCCGCCATTTTCATAAGTGCTTTGAAATCATTTCCCTTCGGTGTGAATTTTTGAGGATCTCCTGTAATGAGAAAAGTGAGAGTGAAACTGCGGCTTTCACCAGTGTTTCCCAACATCTCCTCCAACCTTGCACGGAACGCCTTTGCGATGCCGTGCTGGAGGGAGGTCGTCACGGAGATGCCGTGGTTGAACTCCAGCAGGTAGTCGATGCCCGGGTAATTCTCTGGGCTGTGCAGAACACGTCCCTCTAGACTGCCTCTCTGCACAGCCTCCCTCCATCTGGCATCAAAGATGTGATCGGTGTCGCACTCTAGAAGCTGCAAACCCTCCTTAACCTGCAAGTCAATGACCTGTCTGTAGTTCCATTGGGCGCTCTTTGCAGCTGCATTTGCCGCATTGGTGACTTCAAAGGCTGCAAGCCCCGTTTTGCCCGCCCAAAGCTTTGTCAAAAGCGCGCCTACAAAGTCCTCGAGCCAATACCTCGACCTTGGGGTGCTTGGATCGCACCACAGCGGCACGAGCTTGTCATAGTGCTTCTCGACAAGCAGTGCGGCAGCACCGGGAGAGCAGACGGAGACATTGCGTAAGATCCCATCGACGCTGCGGTACGTGAAGAGCCTGGTCGGCATCCTCTTCTTTTCATCGGTATTCAAATCACCCGCAAAGGCACGTTCCACTGTCGTGAAGTCCTCTGCCTCGGCCCTCTGCAGCTGGACGGCCTCGTCGTAGATCCCCTTGTCAGCCACAAGCGTGCGCAGAGCACCTCCGACTTGCTGGAACCTTTGGCGCATTTCCTCCTTCTCAACTTGAGTCTTGAGCTCTGGATAGCACGCTTCCACCTCGGCCCACAAGAAAGCTTCTACGAAAACGCACTGGCCTCCGTCTTTGACGAAGTGGCTGTAGTGGTCCCGGTCTGGGCTGCAGGCGATCACAGTCTTGGCACCCAACATCATGGGGTTGTCTGCCTTGAAAGCATCCACTAAATACCAGTTGTCGGGGTCCTCCAGGTGCTTGCAGCCTGATGGCTTCCAATCTTCGATCGGCAGGCGCTGCGCCTTCCACTGGCCACCCTGGCCCTTGGTGAAAAGGAAGACTTTGCCGCTCTGCCGGGCTTCGAACACGATGGCCTTGGGCTGCAGAGTCCCGTCTGGCAGCTCCCCCGTCACCAGGTGCCAGAGGCCCAGCGCCAAATTGCGGCTCTTCCCGATGCCCGGGACGCCCAACATGGCCACGCGCTCGATGCCGCCCTTCATGAGCTCGAAGGTGGCCTGCCAGGCTCGGCGCGTCGTATTGCGCGTCAACAGTTTAGGCCCGCTCTGGCCGTACGGCTTTACGGGCAAGGACGTCTTGAGGTTGAAGACCTGCACGCCTGCAACAGTGGCGCAGACAAAAGAGATCACCCACCCCAAGCCCGCAAGCGGCCTTCACCCAAGTCCTGTGGCGTAGCCTCGGCCAGCTCTCGGATGAACTCCGTGGCTTCCGAGTCGTCCTGACGAAGAGCTGCACTGCAACTTCCCCCAGTGACCCCAAGGCACCCCTCCACTCGCGCTCCGCTGAGGCCCCCGCCTGGAATCCGCTCGCGGCCATTGGCGGGGCAGACACAGCAGCGATGCGCTTTGCCAGGACTTTGCGCGGCCCCACGAGGATGCCCATCTCTTTCATGTCATCCGAAGTTAACTCCACCAAGGCTTCACCATCCACTTTTTGGCGGTACAATGTCTCAGCAACTCCAGTATTCTTCGGCAACACGGCTTGCGCCCAGTCACGGACCTGCAAGCAACACAGACTCGAAGCTCAAGCAAGAGACATCGAAAAGCGCCTCATCCACTCCAAACTGCTGGATCTCCTCAGCTGTCTTTTGCAGCCAGTCCTGCGCCCATGGGCACAGCCTAAACAATGCTCCAGTCTGCGAGCCTTCACGGACAGCCCGCCTGATCCAAGCCTGCCTTGGCCTGCAGGAGCCGGGCAGAGCTACCAAGCCCAAACCGGCAAGAACACAAGCTCCCTAAACGTGCCTCTGTCGCTGCGCGTTCTACGTCCTCGGAGGAGGCCTGACAAGTTGAAACTGCAGTGAGCGCATGAGGCGTGCAACACACAAGTAAGCAGCATCACTCACAGAAGCCATTGCTGTTGTTGAGGCTTCGAGTTTCAAAGTTTTAGCTGGCACGAGCAGGCACAAGCTCACTGAAAACAAACCATCAGATAAGTTACTCACGGTACCTGAACAAGAACCTCCATGTCCATAGCATAGGATCTACGGAAACGCAATTAACTGCCAGCGGCTTAAGAAATCCCCGGCCTTCAGCGTCAGGGCGGTAGCGTGGAGTCGCTTCAGGGCACCAGGTCTGCTGGGTCCCGCTGTCAATGCGAGAGCCCAGCGGGACCCAGCGAGACCAAGCCAGAGGCCCGCGAGCAGCAATACTGTAGTGCCAACTTTTCCACCACGCTTCGCCATGATTATCTTCAGCCAAAGCACTGCGCACCAGCACAGCACAAGCCAAACACTCTGAATAACGAACTTCCAATAGCAGAAGCTCTATCTAACAACAGCCCGAGCTGCTTGAGAAGCATCCTGGCTTCGGCAGCATCTATGCACGTGCCCGGCAACAAGCAAGGAAAGTAAGCCAAGCAGCTCGGCAACAACACCATGGCACGAAAGCCTTCTTGGCATCTTCGACCGGGTCAGCAGTCCGCGCTGGGGCCTGCAAGCGCAAGAAAGCACAGGACCATCCCAAGCAACCCCTCAAGCTCCTCGAAACTCGTCTGGCTCCACAAACTTTGCAACACAACTTCGACCGGTCCTGCTTTTCGGAATCTGGGAGCTTTCGGTGCGCCTGGCAGGGCTTTTTGGCAACTGCACCGCAGCAGACAACTGATGCAAGCTCCAAACTGTGACCCATCGAGCCGGGCCATGCTGCGCCATGATTCCTTCCAAGTGGCCGCATCACCTCCAAACAGCAGCAATACGTGCAAAGTACAACGAATAACGGAACGTAACAGGAACATGCTCGCGCACGAACAACCGAAGCGTCTGCCCACCTCTTGGGGCCCTGCTTTCGCAGCCCTTGTAAGAGCAGCCATCATCGCCCAGCCTGCGGCCGAACAGCTGCGAGCAAACAAAAACGCAAAAATCACCCGCGCGCAACAACAAATCACTGGCAAAATCCTGCAAAAAAACTCCACACCAAAGTCTGGCAAAAACAGATAAGCAGCACGCCTACTTGCTAACATCGTCGAGACCCTCTTTTCCATTGCTTCCTTACAATCGGTTCCAAGTCGGACGCTTACCGTTGCACTACAAGTAGCCGATGTCAACAAATCAGCTGGATCTCGCCCACCAAACGGTTGAGCGCAAACGGGCACAAATGACCAAAAAAAATCATAGAACAAGGCGGATTTTCAAACCCATGCTCCCGGACTCAAGCCTCTGCAAGCGAAAATCAAAATTAAGCAAGTTCTTTCCCAGATATGTGGTCGCTTCACTGAAACATCAAAATCAAGCAGCAAGTAGAATACTCCAACTCAAGCATGCCAAATTTCAAGTGGGAAAAAACCTCCAAGTCAAGCATGAAAAATCTGTGGAAACCTGCGCCTCACTCGTGAGAAGCTCAAACGCTCAAGCATGCCACAACAAAAACTATGCAAATGTACCGTCGGGTATAGGGTTAACCTTTTAAGGTTTAGGATGTTTAGGCTAGGGTTTAAGCGGTTTTTGCTTCTCTGCACGCCGAACGGTTGCGGCTGCAACGCCCAGGTACCTTTGGGGCCAGTTCGGAAAGTCTGGAGACACGATGCTCATGATGCAAAATATCAGGTGGAGGGGGTGCTTGACTGATATCGGGCCGGGAGCCGGGGAGGGATATTCCCCGGCTCTGAAAGCTTGGTGGGGCACTGGGCCCCAGGGCTCGGCTCGCCGGCCCAAAGCCAGCGAAACCAACCTTGTGCGGGAACGAAACTATGTTTTTTTTTGCCAGCTTTTGCCGATTTTCCAAAAGGCGACCAAGCCACTCCAGCCCCAAAGCGGCAAACCCGTTTGGCACATCTGGCACGCTGGCACGTTGCGACGCGGTCGGTGTGCCAAAATTTTGGCACGCCCGGCACGCCGGCACGATGCCACGAAGCTGGTGTGCCAAAATGCCGGCACGCCCGGCACACCGGCACGCCTCCCCGCGGCCGCGTGC